TTTATTATTCACTTATTTTTAGCGGCTCTTACAGTTAATTGAATCACAACGAATTGGGAGTCTACAATAGTCATTTATCCGAAAATAACGACAATAGCATTTGGAGAGCCTTAAATAATAGATTTCTGAAACCCATAATTCGTGAATATCCTATATAAATTTCCGTTCATTTGGCTGTTATTACGGACAACTAACTTTGTACCACAGTTATTAAAAATCAACGATTAGAAGAGTTGGACAATTAAAAACGTAATGCATACTTGACAGTGGCGTAGCTACGGGCAGTGGAGACAGTGCAAAGCACTGGGGCCAAAGGTCCATTCATAGATAGATTAATAATTAAACATTAATTTTCCACTTAATAGTTTTGAATAAAACAGCCAGCAGGCCCCTCAATAATATCCGGTTTTAGAGGAGTAATTATTGATTACTGTGTTGATTTCAAGTCATTGGTGTATTGAAGGGTGCCCCAGCCAAACCTTCACCTCCCTATTTTGTTCAAAATTATGAGAAAAAAGGAAGTTATATTATGAGTGCCATATCCAGACATCTGGAGCTGCAATCATCAATGTGCTTACCTCAGCCCCAACTAATGGTGGGGCTGAGGTGGCGATCTTTACCTTCCACCCGCAAAAATCCCTCCGTGACCCTTCTATTTTGAATTCTCAAGTTCCTCGATCTAGCATCCTGACCAAAAAGGACTTTGTTTATACACCATAATGTGCCTCTGAAATCGACTGCAGGGCATATATCATATTATATCCAGTGGCGGATTAAAGGGAGAACCTGTCGGCCTGGGACCCCCACCAAATTTGTCAAAAAAAAAAAAAAGATGATTGAAAATGGAGAAAAAACAGACAATTATATTCACAATTTTCAGTTTGTGAGTGCCATTTTCTTATCTCGGCCCCATCAGGGCAATAGAGCAGTGGCGGAATAAAGAGGAGGTGGGGGTTCATGAGGACCCGGGGGCCAACCAAATTATTAAATTGAGATGCAATTGCCATTTCCGGCCATCTAGAGCTGCCATAATCATACATTTTCTTACCTCAGCCCCTAACCATGGTGGTATAGGCCTGGACTCTGGAAATGTGAAAGTCCCTCCCTAGATCCATCACTGATATTATCATTGAAAACACGAGCACATCTTAAATCCCACAATGAAATTGGTGACATGGCCCCTGGCCCCATCGTTAGACCACAGAGACCGATTAAGCCCCCTCTTAAAATAGTTACGAATCCAGTTATTATTGGTATTTATTGCTAGCACTTCTTGATGATGAATTTTCTGAGAAGGGCCCCGGTTAATAATTCTGCACTAGGCCCATTTCGCACCTAGCTACACCGCTGGTACTTGAGCATTTCGCGATAATAAGGAACGATTTTAGTGAAAATAAAATATGTTTTAAAAGGTGGACATTTTAAAATTTAGGGGTCCAGTTCTCTCTGCTGCTTACGTGAAATGTTAGGATATTGTCGATATATTATTTTAACCGATTTTTTTATCGGTTATTCATTATAGTGCAATAATCAAGACTATCTGCACAATTAATATAAAATAACAGACAACAGATCTATATGAAATGTATGATTTATTTGTAAACAGGAAACGAAAATTAATAAAGCCATCAATGTCGGGTTACATGTTAAACTATGAAACATAGTCTTTATATTACTATAAAATTGTTGGTAGATAATTACCAGAAATGTATGCATTGTTCCCCTCTGTCGGAATGTAATTTATCATTAATACATCAAGTAGGCCTCCAGTTACAGTTAACAGGGAGTATTGACAACATCACAGTGATTGCATTTACTTGTTATTCAATGTTTTGTGCTCTCTGTAAAACAATAATGTGGCTAAACAACAACCTACGTCTTTGCATGTCCAGGTGACTATGTGATAACATTACGTCTGTTGTTGCTGAAGGAAGCAATTTCTATGTCCTTAACTGACCTGAATATTTTATATTTTTTGGTAGAAATATATCTGATGTTAAAACAAAGACTGACATTATTCATTAATATCTATTCAATATAACCCTTTTTTTCCTTAACTGACCTGAATATTTTATATTTTTTGGTAGAAATATATCTGATGTTAAAACAAAGACTGACATTATTCATTAATATCTATTCAATATAACCCTTTTTTTCTAGTTTCAAAATAAGGAAGGCAGTTGACTAAAGGACTATCTTCCATACACTAGTGGGAAAATTAGTACACTTTTGGCAACACAATTCCAAAGAGAACGCAACGAGACGATGTGCACACAACTGATCGTTTTTAATGACAATCTGCTCAGACTGCCACCGAAAACGTCACGTCATCAAGCACTCACGGAAAGCAGAGTATGAAAAATTTTGGCAATTAAGTGTATTAAGTTTCGTCTATTGTTTTCAACCTATGTTATAACTGTCTAATCATAGTAAATCTTGAATGTATATATTTTTCCGAATTGCATTGGTGAATCCTTCATTGAATTTATACCACAAGCTGTTCTTCATAACTTCCTCATTGTCGGGTACATCCTCAGCTGTGGAAATTACAATTTAAAGAAATATTAATTCTAAAGAATACAAGAAAATAAAGGCATTAATAAAATTCATTAAATAATATATAAACTATTGTATTGTGTTTTGTTGTTTTTTAGTTTCCATATGAACTTTGAAAGTTCTGTGCTGTTTCTGTGTTTTGGTGCATTGAATGTGTGCTTATGATTTGTATATCGGGTTTTAAATGCGGTATTTGTGAGCCCGATGTAATGCTTCGATTCTTCGTTTGTTGTGATTGTAGCTTTGTAAATAATTGAGGAGGTTAGGCAGTTTCCCGCGAGTGGGCAATCTTCTTTAATCCGACAGTTGCATAGTTTGGTCGGTACTTGTTGTTTGGTGTGGAGAAGGTGGTTGTTGTGGGCTTTGATGGTGTTGCCCATGTTTCTTGTGCAACTGTAGCTAACTTTTACGTTGTTCTTGTTGAACAATTTGTGCAAGGTGCTGTCTTTGTGGAAGTGCTTTTTGACCGGGTTAAGGAAAGTTCTGCCGATGTTTGTTTTGACGTTTTTGCTGAAAGGTGGGTTGTACCATATGATGTTCCTTTTTCTTCTGGCTTTTGAGTTGTTTGTAGGTGGTTTTTTGTATTTCATCTTGTGTTGAAATCCGCTGTCCCTTAGTGCTTTTTGGTAGTCGGGGGCAGCCTTTTGAAAAGTTGCTTCTGAATCGGAGTTGCTTGATATTCTTTTATTGATTGAAGAGGGGATTTGCTTTAAGATGGATGAAGGGTGGTTTGATCGTCTATCCACGTATAGTAATTTTTGTCTGGTTTGGTGAACGGAGCATAGGATCCGTTAGTCAGGTTGAATGTGACATCAAGGAAGTTTGTGATCTTTATGTTTGCTTGTATAGTAATGCGGAGGTCAAAGGAGTGAAAGATGGATGTGATTTCTTTCTTCATCTTGTCACATAGTCTTGGAGATGTGCTGCTCATGATGGCGAGGCCATCGTCTCGGTAGAGCCCGATGTTAGTAGTTCTGAGCTTTTTGGCGAGGTGGGAAAGGATGTAAGTTCCAACGAGTTCACATATCTCTGCTCCGTCAAAACTCCCCATTGTGACGTCGAACATATCGTCTGAATTTTTCTTGACCCATGTTGAGTTGTTGGAGAACAATATTGATTTTTGTGACTGCATGATGATATCTACTTCTTCCTCTGTTATAGTTGTGTATTTTTGGGCGTGTTGAATTGCATCTAGTAGTAGCTTTTTTGATATTGATGAGTAGAATTCGACGATGTCGAATGTGATGAATGTGCTGTTTGATTTCTTTTCGATGTGTTTGAACCACTCGATGACTGCTGGGGTGTTCTTCCACTGTTGTAATTGTGATTTTTCAAGCATGGTGCTGTTTATGCGGTCGAGGATGGTTTTGCTAATTAGCCCAATTTCTGGTTTGGATGGGTTAATCAACCTGCAGCTTGGTTTGTTTTGAAAGTTGTCTTTGTGGTCTTTTAGTGTAATGAAGGCTTCCTTATGTACAATGGTTTCGACCCGGTCGTCGAGTTTTAGATTTGAGGTGATCGATTTTGCTGTATTATTGATTTCTTGTATGCTGTCTTCGTTCGTTTTTTTGTAGGACTTGGTAATGTTCTGATGTAGGAGCTTGGCATACTGTTCCGTGCTTAGTTTGTAGAAGTTTGTTGTTTTGTCTGCTGGTATGATAAGCTGGTCGGTCTTCTTGATGGTATTTGAGTCTTGTTTGAGTTTTCTTAGGAATTCACATTTTGTGTCACGGAATTCCACCATTTCTACCATCTTCAAGACATCATTTTCGAAGGCTCTCATCTTATCAGGTTGTGGAGGGTAGTTCTGGGTTTTGAAGCCATATGTTTCTTTGTCTTCTTGCAGGTTGCTTGTTTTGTTGAAGAAATGGAAAGCTTTCCATCTCATGCGTTTCAAAACGCTCTCGGTTTTTTCTATTAGGGTTTTCTTGTATTCCCTCGCAGATGGAATATGGATGTTCTTCATAGAGTATCTGAAGTTTACATGTTCCATGTTCGATGCCGGTCTTGACGATAGTGCTCAACGTTGGGAGCAAGAATATAAATGAATATAAAGTTGTCAGTTCAGGCAACGTATAGTGCTCGATGCTATGCAGAGCAGTATAATAATAATAATAATAATAATACTAATAATAAGGAACTTCAGGAGTGAAGGGAATTTCAAATTTGACGGGTATATGTAGAGTTGGGCCGGTGTAGATGCAAATTAGGTATTATGTGTTTTTGAGTAGGAATTTGGCACGGTGTCTGCATTTTGAAAGGAGTTCGTGCCTTTTGTTCAAAGTAGATTGTTTGTCTGCATAGATTATATGAAACTTTTCTGCGTTGCATAAATTGCATCGCTTTGTTTTGGGTGAGTAGGATGAGGCTCTATCAATAATGGACCATTTGATATTGTATTGTGTTTTGCTGTCTTTTAGTTTCCATATGTACTTTGAAAGTTCTGTGCTGTTTCTGTGTTTTGGTGCATTGAATGTGTGCTTATGATTTGTATATCGGGTTTTAAATGCGGTATTTGTGAGCCCGATGTTTGTCGTGATTGTAGCTTTATAAATAATTGAGGAGGTGAGGCAGTTTCCCGAGAGTGGGCAATCTTCTTTAAAGTTGCATACATATATATATATATTTTTGTATATTTTTTTATATTTTTTTTTGTATGTATATATACTGTATATATCATCAAATAATTCGTTGAGAGCTATGCTACACGATGTATTATGTCCTTTATTTGAACACTGTATTTACCTTTCTATATATATA